TCAAGGCCATGTTGTTGTCGACGGGCATGAGCGACTAGCCTTACTTTATAACGAGCCAGTATTCCATTTGAATGAAATTTGAAACGATAAGTCCACCAGCAACCAAGTATATTGGCTTTGGGAGGAGGAGATACTAGGGTCCATGTCCCCTGTTTTTGCAAGGCCAAGAATTCTAAGACCATGACCTCTCTCCAGTGATGGTATTTCAATGCTTCAGAATATGTGGTTGGATCTGTGGTTGGCGGTGGGACATTTGGTTAAATGGTGTGAAGTAGATTAAGTAGAGTTCAAGGTTTTAGAGAGCAAGTTTGGAGCCTTGTTATCATTGGATGAGGAATGTGGATAGGTTCTTGTAAAGGTTGAGGGGATATGGGTGAAGAGTTAGAGAGGAGGAAGCTAGAAAATTTGTGTGAGACGTAGGAAAATTTGACTGAGGTGTCGGCTAGGAGGTGGTATTGGCTGTTGTAGTTGGGGGAGATTGTGAGGCAGGAATTAGGAGAAGCGGATTGGTGGTTGTAGGGTGTGATTTTTGGTTTGTAGAAGGAGGTTGTGAGGATGAATTGTATGGGAAATTGTGTTCATCAAAGGCAGCATGTCGTGAGAGAATTATTTTGTTGATGGATAGGACAAGGCATTTGTAGCCCTTGTAGGAATTGGAATACCCCAGAAAAATGCATTCAGGAGCTCGAGGTTCCAATTTGTGTTGTTGAGCTAGAGGCAGCCAAGGATAGCAGGCACACCCAAATGTTTTGAGATGAGAGTAGTCGGGTGTTTGGTTGTATAAAAGCTGAAGAAGAGAGGTGTTAGCTATAGTTGTAGAGGGCATGCGGTTGATAAGGTGAACTGTCATAAGAGCATCATCTGGCCAGAACTGATAGGGAAGACTGGCTGTGTGTAAAAGTGTTCTAGCAGTTTCGGTGATGTCTAATTTTGTGTTCGGCGGTGTCGTTTTGTTCAGGGATATAGGGAAAAGAAATTTGGTGATGAATGCCCTTTTTTTGGAGAAAGGATTTTAGCGTTGAGTTTAAAAATTCCTTGCCGCCATCTATCCGTAAGCATTTTATTGAATGAGATTGTTGTTTTTCAATGAAGTAGTGAAGTTTAGGAGTATTTGAGGAACCTCTATTTTGTGAAACATTGGGAATAACCAAGTAAACAGAGAAAAATTGTCTATAATTATGCTTAATGAGAAAAAACCAGAGACGGTCCCCATATATCCAAGTGCAGTAAAGCAAGAGGAGAAGATACAGAATGTTTATTTACTGGAAAGACTAGTTTATGGCTTTTGAAAGCCTTACAGTGAGAAAAAAATTAACAATAGTAGGATAGCTAAGTGTTGATGTTGCTGAGAGATAACTGTTGTGACTCGGGAATGCGGATGGCCAAGCCTGCTATACCAGCAGATGGAGGGAGAGATGTTGGCCGATAGAGCAACTTTGGAGGTATCTGGGTTGAGAAATTTAATGGTGTAGAGACCAATTCGACAATGACCTTTTAAGAGAATTTTCTGGGTCTTCACGTCCTTGATGGAGAAACCAAAAGAGGAAAAAGAAATAGAGACGTCATTGTCTTGAGTAAGGTTAGAAACTGAGAGGAGGTTGTGGGAGATATGGTGAACGTGATAGATTTGAGATAGATTTAACTTACAAGTAGGGATGGGAAGGATTTCAACACCAGTATGAGCTATTGGTATATTACCTCCATTGCCAATGGTAATATTGCTCGTTCCTTGATATGGTATCAATTGATCAATATTGCCCAGTGAATGAGTGAGGTGCAACGAGGCACCCAAGTCGATGTACTAGTCGAGTTTGGAAGACAACGTATCTACAACAAATGCCTTGGAGGGTGTCGGAGAGGTGGTTATGTAGTTAATGTTCAGATGGTGCTAGCATTGGGTTGCTGAGTGACCCCTCTTATTGCAAATTTGACAAGTGGTCTGGGACTGAGGATTGGTGCGACTAACTGGAGAAGTATTAGGAGAGAAGCAACCTCTGTCTCTACGATCTCATCCTCTAGACGCATACAGAGCAGTATGCAGATCAGCTGAATAATGATCTCTACTGGATTCATTTTCCAGGTTGATTTCTTCACTAATCAGTAGAGAGTATAGGCTATCTAAGCTGATGGGTGATAGTGTGTACGAATAAAGGTCTTGAATCCTTGATAGGGAGGAGGTAATCCATTGAGGATGAATAGTATGATGTCTTTGGGATCTACAGCGAATCCAACTGCTGCGGTATTGTCCACAAGAATTTTGATGTTAGTGAGATATTATACCATTGTGAGGTTCTTCATGGAAATATTATGGGGTTCATTCTTTAGTTGAAAGATTCTAGATTTATTTGAGGCTTGGAGGCGTAGTTCAAGGGTGCTCCAAATGTCAAAGTAGCTATCTAGATGAAGAACGTAGGGCAGTATGGAAGTCGTTATGGTGGAACATATGGCGACGGCTAGGTTTTGGCCGATGAAGAGCCATTGAGTATAGGAGGGGTTGGGAAGAGTGGTGTTGGTGTTGTCAGGTTGCTGGAGAAGGCGTTGTGGTCGCATAGCAAAGTTGTAGAGATGGTCAGCGAATCTGTTTGCTCGCAATAGCATGAGTATCTGATAGCGCCACATTGGATAGTTGTCATTGGAGAGGGTAATAGGTACGATGGTTTTGATAGTAAACAAAACTAGCTTCAAAAGAGGAAGGAATGGGTTTGGTTATGGTGACAGTTTCAGTGGAGTCCTCTGTGGTTTGCGAGGAGGACAATGGAGCCATTGTGAAAAGAATCAAAAGCTCTGATACCATGAAGACAGCTTAGCTAAAGCTATATCAGAGTATAAAAAAGAAAGTATATGAAAGGTATAGCTACAGACATCTTTCAGTATTGCTTCCAAGGATGAACTCTTGTATGGTGAGTGTTTATATAGAGTAAACTAATGCACGTGTAAGGCTAAGATATTACTAGTTTGTTAAGCTTAAGCGGTGGGTGATATGCCCGGTTTGTTACTATCAGAGTCCTGGGTGTTGGTAGTGGAAGCATGCACCTTTAATATCCATTATCTCAATGGATTTATTTAAACACCAACTGTTTTCTTATTATACAAACATTCTTAAAACTCTCCCAAAGAAGACGATTTCATTTCACACTCAAAATAAGTGGATGAAGTCATCATTTTACAGAACATGTTATGAACAAACAAGTAACCAAACGGGATCCAGAATTTTCAGTTTTTTCAAAACTTATCAACTAACTAGACTTGTACACCAAAAAAAATCTAAAATTTAAGAGGATTTGCAATGAGAAAGTCTTCCTAGCAACCTACTTGAAGAATCATAACACATAACAAGCAAAGAGGTATGTATACGTAGCGCATATGGCTCCTGTCAATAGCGTTCTGATGAGGTTCTTATATATGCAACCCTTACCTCTACATGCTACCTTATTTCAACATTGTAAAAAGGACGGGGCTATAAATTACCCCGAAAATAAATGAATCGAAAATGTAACTAGGGCCTCGTTTGTTTCTCCTTATTTACGCTGTTTCTATTTTACATCGGTGCAAACATTTACTTTCTCTTGTTTGTTAACACGCCTTTTGTAGCAAACCTTTTCCTATTTCTCAGTATTACTGCCGATCTCAAAAGGAAAAAAATGCCGCTTACAAACGTCCAATACCTGAGTTTTCAGACGAAGAAACCGATTTTACCCCTCACGTTCGAACGTCCCCCTCACGTCCCTCTTCAGAGACCTTTTGTTCCTCCTCGAACATCTGGTTTCTCCCTTCGCTATTTTCCAGTTCCCTCCCCCATTTCGGCTGTAATACGGACTGAGCAAACATTCAAAATATGATGATCAATTATCGGTATTGCTATTAACAATGGTTACAGTGAAAGTGCATATAAATGTTTGTGATATAGGAAGTTAAGTAGTTACAATTTGCTCCGCTGCTGATAATGTTTTCTTTAGTAAACGTCTGAAGAAGAAGATGAATCAGAACACATTGGAAGAATCATCGCTCTAGTTTCGAAGTAACATATCGACGCTGAGACAGATTAGTTCATCGAAATAGAGGTTTAGCCTGCATATGTGCATTTAGCTGAGAAAGGTAACGAAATTGCTTTACGTTGATACAATATTCATGTATGAAGAATTTGCGAGGTCTGACCCATCGAATGACACCCTCTCTTTAGCATAGTGTAATAACATTCACTGCTGCAACAACTGGAGGAATGTAAGAAAGTCATTATTCTTGGAAAAGCACTGCAGGCTTTTGGCAAGCAAAGTAAATTGTCGGCTCCTGGCATGCAGGCCATTGGTTGAACTATGAGCAGCTCGAACTATCCAAGTGTTGCGCCACACCAGAAGCAGCATTTCTCATTGGCGTCTGCGGTGGGGAGTAGGTTTCTGAGAGGGAATAGAGGACGATGTATTCGCCTTATTGGTCGCCTTGAAAGCAAACAAAGTGATTCAGATGGTGGTCAGAGGACCGTCGGGGTATTGAAGCCCTCGGAAGTTGATCGGCATTGAAGATGAAATGAAGGTTGGGGTCGTCTCCAAAATACTTATTGACTAGTTAGAGGGAAAATATGTATTTTAGTCAGCTTTTACGTTTGCGTACACAGTAAAAAAAAAGATGTAATCAAACAAGTAATAAATTGCTTAAATAATTTTTGGGAGAACTCCGTTTACTGAATAATTGCTTTTCTACCGGCTTATGCAAAAGGAATGGCGCAACCAAACAAGGCATAGGAGTTATTAGATTAAGTGGTGATCACATACCTATCTTATTAGTATGTCATAAAAATTAAAAAAACCCTAAACCCTAAAACAAAATTAAGAGCCTACTACTCTACATCTCATAAACCTTAATGGCATGCAAATATACCTGAATAATAATAAGTTTTTAAGTAACGAATCATTTAAACATTGAAAATAATGCCATCAATCACCAAAGGGAGAAACAAAAACATATGAAAGTGCAAAAAAACGAATCAGCGGCTTCATAGTTACCATTTGCGAATAGCCCTCGATCAGACGAGCAAAATCCAGTGCATCACCCTTCTCAGAAGAGATCCTATGACGTGGCCTACGTTCCTCCCTCCTATGATCCTTTTTTAAATCCCTACTGGATGAAATCCTTGATGGCGAACGGCTCCTACTCCCTCGCCGCGAGCAATGCCCATCTCTCATCCCATTCCTATTCCGGCGATACCATTCCCTTTCTTTCACCTCATCCTCCGAGCAACTCTTCGAACTTCTTCCCCTAGCCCTACTGCGCAATCTGCAGTCCCCATCTCGTTCCCTCTGTCTTTCCCTACTGGAGGAGCGGCGGCGAGCGCAACCGTCCCTCTCGGGGCTTCGGCAGCGCTCCGAAGAACGGAAATTAGGTGAGGAAGATCGCTGGGATCGCCGGAGCTTGGCCTGGATAGTTTCTAGCTGAGCTTGCTTCTCGGCTTTGCCGGGACTCGTTGCCCGGACGAAGTTGGAGAAGTAAGAGGAGTGTGAAGACGAGGGTTTTTGGGAAAAGGTACCAGAGGAGGAGGAGGAGGAGAAGCCGAGGCCCTGCTTGAAGCGCGCGGCGCCCTCGCCCTTGCGAGTAAGCTCATCGTAGTACGCGGCAGCCTTCGCTTCCTCCATCGATGGAGCAGAAATTAAGACAAATTTTTAGCATACTTAAAATACAGCATAGTAAAGTTAGCCGCCGCTTGAACAGGCGGGGCTATTCTCCTACGCACCACTGCATTCGTCGCCCGTGCCCCTTCACTTTTTTTCTATTCGTTTTTCCCCTCCACAATTGGAAGAATTATTATGTGCGGAGTGCAGAGGTCGTATGGAGATCAATAAAAATATGTCATGTCATTTAATTGATGGGTAACCAGTTCGGTGCCCTCACTCGATTTCGCTGGGTGCCGCTGGGTACCCACCGGACTGTTCTCCCATCCGGTCTCTGTACAAAATAAAAGCTCCCACAATTGACCGGCGAGAAGAGGTAAATTATTTTCTTTTGGGCAAATTTATTTTTTGAAATGACATGTTCTTGTCTTAGTTTACTGCAAGATTTAATTGATTTGTGTTGAAATGCATATAGGCTATTTGATTGGAAGAAAAATGAATGAAAGTAAAGTAAATTACTTTTTCATTTTTTTGTGTGGTTGGTTAAAAAGCAAATCCAAGATAAAGTAAAATAATTGCATTGTATTTCATTTTAGTTTACTTTTGAGATAAAATTATTCTATCCCAATTTCAGAGAGAATATTTTACACAGCTCAAGTACTTCCTTGACCGCCCAAGACAACTACCTTATGCCGCCACCGTCTGTCCTGTCAGACCCTACGGTCGCCCGCAAGCCACCGATCTACTGCCACCCCACCACCGGCCATCTTGATCACAACCTTCACTTTACTTCAAAGCAAACAAAATAAAGTAAATTCCTACATTCATTTTTCAGCTCCAAAGTATTCATTTTACATCACATTTTTTTTACACTGCATTCCTTTTTTCAGGCAACCAAACAAGCTCTTAGCTTAGTGAGTGCTACCAAACAACCCCTTAGATTAGTGAGTGCTAGAAATATTTAGATGAAAACACAGTAAAAATCTTAGATTTAGGTTTTATGTTTTGAAATATTATTTTAGATTGTAGATTTTTTTTTTTTATTTTGTGAATCTTCAAGTTAATTTTGTAGCTTTGTTAAAAAAAAATTGGGTTCTTTTTTTTTTTTTAATTGATCTAGAATATTTATTGTCTACATTTTGTTTAAAAATTCTGAAAGATACATTTTTATGTAATTTTAAGAATATGATTCACTTACATTGAGTACATGTTTTATGCTTTTTTTTTTTTTTTTGTTAGTATAATTTTAAAATTAAATAATTCCTAGATTGTCCAATCATATATTTACTCATATTGAGTATATGTTTATGAAATTAATACGAGAGTATATTCTATGTCTATAAACTAAGGACACATTTCCTAATTTGTGTTTTTTATTGTTGGTTTCACAATCTATTAAATGAATAATGCATTTTATATAGAGGAATAATGGAAGTTTTCTATGAATTTTGACTATGTTAAATTTCATTTTCAAAAATAAATAAAATATGCATTTATAAAAATATTATTAATAACTATAATACAATTATAGTGCTCAATAATTTTCATATTTTTATGACATTTATACTAACTTGTGAAAAAGTAATACTAAACACTTAGATAATGAATATTAGTCGAGTTATGTTTATCCAAAGTTAAAGTCGGTCAATTGATTTTGTATTATATTCCTTTAATTTTATAATTTCATTATAAGAAGAAAAATGATGAGGCGCTTTGCTTCCCTATTGTTAGTGTATGATGAGCATCCCCAACTTGTCATAGTGGTCATACTATATCACTACAAATACTAACAAATATAAACATAGAACAACTAAAATCATTAGTTGTTAGAGCTCTAATTTTAGATTCAACTAAAGTTCGGGTCAAACTAATATGCCGACTTCCCGTTAGAGGTGTGTTTTTTACGTTAGACATTGATGATGATAAGATCTGTGAAGTAGTCTTACATCATGCTTACAGTAAATTTTTTATAGTATATGTTGAGGTTAAAGAGTTTGATGTTACACAATACAATGAGGAGAATAATGTCTTTCGCAATAGGGAGAACATATTTTGCTTTGGGGATGAACAACAGATGAATTTATTGGTTTAGAGATCCATTGGTAGATCCTTTACACAGTAAGTGGCGCATTGATGCATAGTTATTGTTGTTGTTGTTGTTTTTTTTTTTTTTTTTTTTTTTTTTTTTTTTTTTTTATTAAATTTTTTTTTTTTTTTTTTTTTTTTTTTTTTTTTTTTTTTTAATGCAAGAAGTTCTCATACATATATAAATTTGAAGAATGCGTTTAACATGTTAGCTGAAACACGTCACCATCTGGACATTCAAGATGAGAATTCACAACTTGAACTTGTAATTGTTAAAGGGTATGTAACTACGAGCAGCAGCGCAAGTTGTGAGTTTGGTGATAATTTAGATGATATAGACTTAGAATATGTCTGACCTAGTTTTGAAGGAGAGGGTAGAGCACATGAACTTATTAGGGATTACTATGTGAGGATTACAAGCACAGTCGATAGAATGGTTAGCATGAATACATTTGTAGGTATGTGCATGAATAAAGATGAGTGGAATAATGAGCAGTATTTTGATGCTTCTGCAAAACAACAGTGGCAGCTCATGCGCTTGAGATACCCGATGAAATATTGGAAGGCATGTATTATCCAACAATAAGTGATCTTGAATTTGCCATATGTGGAGATCCATAAAAATTTATGTTAAATTTTAGGCTTTTTCATCAACCCATAAGATATTTGCATTATGTTGTGTACATAGTTTTGCATAATCACGTCCATGCCTTCGGCGATTGCATGCTTGTATTAGTCAATGCTTGGGTGAATTATGGAAGGTATCATTTATTAGGAACACACTTACATATTCAAATCCCATACGTCTCAGTGGACATAGTGCAACCTCTAGATTCATCAATTATTTATACTCCCAATTATATGAAGATAGATTGATCTTAAACCAAGAGAAATTATCATTCACATTGTGGTAAAGTTTAATATTAAGATGTTGTACATGAAAGATAGGAATGTAAGAAGAAATACAATAACATTTATTTTTAACATTTTGGAGGAGTCATATGCATGGTCAATTTGTTTATGGAGGCACTTATCTCAACCATGCCTTGCACAGTATACAGGTTGCATTAATCTAATATACACATTTGAGTAGATATTTTGGGCTTTTAGTACTAGTATGTTGGGGTGGAGGTTTTGTCGACCAGTCTTAAGTTTTGACATCATATTCTTGCTTATAAAGTATCATGGTACACTATTAACTATCATTGGTATTGATGTGAATAATAGTTTATAAAACTTTGAGTAGGTAGTTAAACCTAATAAAACTGTCCCAAGGCTAACCAAAAGGGGGGTGTATTTGTAATTTAAAAAATTCTCTTGAATTTTAGAAAACCGATTCAAGATATTTGACACAATGATAAATTTTTACAAAATATTTTTCAACCATAATAACTTAAAGTGCAAAAAAAATGTAGTAAAAAGTAAAAGAATAGAAGAACATCAAATTTTATAGTGGATTAGTCCAACTAAACCTACGTCCACTCCTTGATGACTCTTTCTTCAAGCATTGCACTAAATCAAAGTGACTCTCATTTTACCTCCACAGAAATGCAAAGAAGCCCTTACCAAATCTCTCTTCCACCAACCCGGTGCGGTAGAGTACCGATGTCCTTTCTAACTACTTTGGTGATTATAGAGTACCAATGACCTTTCTCACCCTCCTAGTGATGGAAGAAAACCAACGTCCTTTCTCACCCTCTTTGTGAGCAGAGTATTGTGATCTTCTTTGAAAATCTTCTCTCAAGAGCCTTTAAGGAAGTATGGAAGAATTTTAAAGAACAAATAAGAGATCCTTATCTTTGGGCAATCTTGTTAATCCCCTCACAATTTTGTCTCAAAAGATCTCTCACTCTTCACTCCTAAATCACTCTCCCGAATACTCTCCTTATCCACTCTTAAGAAAAATTTACAGCAAGATCATGTAGTGTCAGTTTTAGGACACTTACATATGAAAGATAAAAAAATCATTCACAAAACTAAAAATTTCAACTGAAACGTGATGCAGATCTAGATATAAGGATTATATAATAAACATTATTGGCATTCATGCTTCTCTACTATTGTTACTACTATATATTTATTTTGGTTGCCCTATCTACTAACTTTTCATGTCCACAAGATCAATTGTAATTATAGCCAGCTCAAGATTAGGTAGATTAGGATTGAGTCAGTCTATACTTTAGTTCCAATGATTTTTACTCTTTCTTGAGTCAAATATAATAAGGTGAAATCTTATGCTAAGTAACTTTGCACATACACACTCAAGGGGAGAAATTCTATAAGTTTAAGAGTTTTTTTTTTTTAATTTTTGATCATATCATATGGGACCATCGAAAATCATCTTGGACGATCAGTTAAAAACATAAATCCTAATTATGGCATCTTTGTTAAGCTAGCTAGATTAAGTAAATCATCCTGGATGATATTCACATCATCCTGGATAATAGGCTCAAATAAGAAAGAATTAGCAACTAAACTCTTTTAGGAATGATATTATTTTAAAAAATCATACAGAATGATCCCATATAATCCTAGATGATCCATTACAATCATGCCTAAACAAGTCAGGTAATTAAGGAAAGTAATTGAGGTTAGATTGATCGATCATATCATTCTAGACGATTGTAGGATCATCCTTGATGATCAGTTAGAAAAACCTTAATCTTCTCCTGAATCAGCTGGACATCCCAAACTATGTGCTGGATGATCAGTTATAATTCAACATCATCCATATGTTTATGCTGGATGATTAGAACTATATGCTGGATGATAATCACTAATTTTGATCTAATCATACAGGATGATCTAAACATTATCCTTGACGATCAGTTATAATTCATTATCATCTAGATGTTTTCTGTTGGACTACTAAAATTATGTGTTGGACGATATATATGATCTTGAACTAATCATACATGATGATATCATCATCATTCTGGATGATCAGAATAAATAATGTGTTCTAATTGTCCAACACACTCAGATCATCTTAGTTGTAAGGGATGAAATACACTAATCGTACTGGACAATCTTTGATGGCAAGTTGCAAATTAGGGCAATTTTAAGGTC